CGTAATAGACTTAATCGGAAATGGCACACTTATGTTTATGAGGATCATCAGTTTTCTAGTAGTCTAATAAAAACAAAAAAAACGAAATCAGTTATAAGTTGCTTTAAATTTTGGTGGTGATAATTGAGATCTTTACTGTATCAAAAATGAGTTTACCATACAAAAAATTAAACATCATGTTAGTAATTCCTTATAAATATCATTGTGTTTTTTCATAGGTTTTATTATTATTGATAAACTATACATGAAAACAATGAATTGATGTTTTAAACAAAAACAAAAAAGTGTAATTTTATTGTGTCAATTTTTGTCACCTTACAATTGTTTGATCTCAGCTTTAAATTTTGTTATTTAATGTCTACGAAAGAGTTGGTTCTAGACAATGAAAAATTATTTAGAAAATAACGATATTTTTATTTCATATTTTGACCGAGATTACACATCCCTACTCAAGCCTACAATAATACTTCATAGCAGAATCATTTTTGAATAGTTTTCTTATCAGTACAAAAAATAACAATATAATTTCAAGTCATGCTCACTAACACCTATAAGAAAATCATATATATCAGTCAGATGCCTTCCATGGGCTAAGTTTTTGCAAAAAAGAAACACATTTTTCGAAGCTTTAAAACACTAAATAAAATGATAACCTCTCGACTATTTTTAATAAAAGTATCAGCGTAAAATATATTATTTATCTCATTATTGTTTCCGAAGGAAAACAAACCATGTAGCAGTAATCAATTTTTGTACATATTATTTTTATACTAGTGAAGTTTTGTATTGATTGCTCGTAAGTATTATGAAAATTTTTTTGAGAAAAGAGCCTCACATGATGTTAATTAGTTGTCTTTGATTATTATATTCGAGAAAAATAGAATTTTACTATTCGAATATTGTTGTTCAGTGAGTTCAAACGTTCAAAAAACCGAATGAGAAGACGAAGGAAGAAACATCATCCACTGTTCAATCGCTTTTCAGCTAAAATCTAGTAGTATATTGGTAATCGACCATGCTGATTCTGAATATCAAAATGATTTTTACCGGTGGGTCTTCAAAGATTCGCTTTTTTTATAGTAAAAAAAACTTTTCATGGAATTTGTTTTTGATCTGTGTACTTTTTAGAGCGCCTCAACTTTAATATAAAAAGCATTTTATTTTTCACAATATGAACGATTACAGAGGAAGTAGTGTAGTAAAAATTTTGTAATACTTGAGCTTTTATAGAGTTTCCATTCTATTCAATATTACTTTGTCGAGTACATATTGCTATTGCACTACACTTTGTTCTGTCATTCTATTTCAATATCTATAACACGCTCTGCAGTTCATCGAAGAACTTCGAACTTTCATATTTTGAGGCCCAATAATGTAAAAAGCTTCACAAAGACTTTATCTTACTCAAAGTTGTCTTTAGGTTAAAAAGAGTATGGGCGAGGCTGAGATCTCTGTTACACTCATACCTTACACCCAATAGCAGTTAGCAATATTAACAGAAGTCATGGTGACTAAAGTTTCATACAAACTAGAATAGTAACAAAATAAATACTACCAAAGCACATGCAAAATATTTCCTTCTTTGGTAATCATAGACTGATCTAATCATAAGAATGAAAGGACAAATGACAGTACTATGGCTTAAAATAGGTCAAAGCCAAATGAAAAATATGAAAATGAATAGAATAACATCCGAAATCAAGAAAAAAGTCAAGCTAATAATAAAACGTAGAGAATGTAAATGTTGAAAGAAAAATAAAAGAGATGATAAGAATTAAAACTTTTTTACTAGTCTAATCCCTCTGTAATGGTTGAAGTTTTGAAAATTATAGTTCTTTGTACTCAACTTGAGGCGCTGCACAAACTAGACACATTAAAAAAAAAACTTAACGAAAAAAAGGTTTGTGCTGTAGGAAACAGGATTTTCGAAGGCCTAACAGCAAAAAAACATATGGATATCGCATAGATTCTATCTAAGCTGAGTTTCTGATCACGGCACTACTTGACAATCCTACGTTCAAGACATGTACACCAGATTTCTTTTCTTATTGTCTTTATTTGCCGTCTATGGGATACTAATATGAATTACACTTTATTGATTAGAACTAACTATTGCACTTCAAATGAAAAACAAAAACGAACACTACAACATATATTTTCCATAGAATAGAAAGCTAGAACTGCTCATGATAAAGACTTCTATATTACCATTGCCGACAGATCTAGTTCATAGAAAAAAAAACCTTGATTGCTTCACCCAGTTCTTATTAGAGGAGCTGAAAAGCAAGCTTTGCTATGACTGAATTCTTTCAATGCATCGGAATGTAAATTATCGCATACCATAATATGGAATTTTTGAATAATAATGATTTTTCAAGATATTTTAAAAATCTAATACGATTACCATGAGAAATCATCGTTAAACAGAGACAAGTTTAGTCGTGTTTCGTTATTTCTTTTTTTTATATTTACATAAGCATTTCTTTTTTTCTTTTTGAGTAACGATGTCTCTCCTAGTGTAGAAAGTTTGACCTAATATATCTCATACTTTTCAATGTTGACAGAAAATGTGTCTTGGACTTCTTCTGATTATAGAAAAACTTTACTAGCGTTTTTCTGCACTTTGTTAAAGGTAACGAAAGATTGTACTATTCTTCTTCTTTGTACAGAAAAAATTTCTAATAGTAAGAAGAAATCGACAACATAAATCTTATTTATATGTGACAATGTGTAGTAACCTTCTTTCAGCCACTGTACTTCTAGTCATTTATTTATTGAAAAACATGTCACAAGTGAAACTAAATACGACCATTCATAGATTAATTTTAGATCAGATGAATAATAAAGAACTCATTGAAGAATGCTCCGAAAAATAAAACTAATTGTCGAATTCAGCTATTTACAGATGGATGTCATCCAAATAACTATTGATAAGAACAAGATAGAGAGATCTGTGATTTTGACTAATTGCAAGAGAAAAGATTTAGCTGTAAAATCATGTCAAATCTCATAGGTCAGCAATCGGCAAACCAAGTGAGTTCTTAGAAATCAATTTTGAAATGGATATTATGGAAGTGTTTCCTATAGGCTGTTCACTCATAAGGTGGCTATTTGATAGAGCAAAAAAAACATATCTTTCGATCTATATGAGGTTGGCCTCTCTAACTTGTTCCTTTCAAAAGCGGCAGAGATTTTTCAGACATAGCGGATCTCAGTAGTTTTATCTTGAATAACCTGAAAACAAGTCTTAAAAGGCGCAGCAGAACGAGCTCCGCAGCTGACAATGTTTATTTTTATTTTCAAAGCAAGCTAAAACGGCGACAGCAAAATTTTAAAAAATTTACGTATTTCCAAGTTATCCAGAATAAAACCACTACAATATGTGGTCTCTGAAAATTTCTGTCACTTTCGAACAGAACAAGGAAGAGAGGTGAGCCTTCTGTATGTTAGCAAATAAATATTTCCTCTATCGGATAGTCATATTGTATTGGAAAACCTGATAGGAAATACGTTGACCATATCAGTTTCAAATATTTTTAACAGTTACACACTTAATTGATCGATTGTTGACAAATCAAATTTAATATAATTTTTTAATCAAATCCTTTCTCTTTGAATTGGTGAAAATTGCAAGTCTCGGTCTTATTTCTATCAAAATTTATTTAAGAAAAATCAACCTGCCTTATAACCTAGCTTCTTTAATAGTTTCTGTTCATTCTTGTTTTTCGTTTTTGTTAAAATACCTTTCATTAAATATATGAACGAACAAAGAATGTATTTCATTACTGACGTATTTATATCTCGATCTCTTTCAATCCGAAGCGTTAGTTTATTTTCGAAAACAATTCTCATCCTTCTATACTTTGACTTGTTCACGTGAATAGTGAACGATGTCCTTGTATTAATGTGATTATGAACGAGTAACAAAAAACAACTCACATACAACTTGAATACGAGAGAATTTTCTATTAATTGATTAAAAAAAATTAATTGTTTCAATTCTATTTTTATAGAGGAGATGGATAAGTCGATATGCTCTGTTTTTATCTAGAATTCTATGGCAAAGGCTGAATTATTAGGTAAATAGCTTTCTTTTCATGCCATTTTGTTTATGAGTACGTGAGAAAACATACATCATACGTTGTTTGAAAGAGAAAAAATATTCTGTCGACTGCTGAAAAAAAATTTCTTTTCAATACATATTTTTGAATAAAAAAAAAAACCACTCGACATTTTATGTCATTGTTTATCGCGTTTGACTTTGTTATAATTACTATATTAAACAGATTGCTTTTAATGTTCGCATAAAAATGTTGTAATGAAAATTTATTATTGACGACTTAAAAACAAACTTATTTGAATATGTTCTTGAGAAAAAAAAAACAGAATTAAATCAATACATTATCGTTCAACTGAGACTAAGACTCAGAATGTAACAAACATAGACTACTTTAAAGGTTTGCTTGACATAAATTTCTTTACAAAAAAGAAGGCGATACCAGATGTATGACCATCAATATATACTCTTTTATATAATCATTAATAACATTTTGATTACGTTGATGCGATTGTTTATGACGTCCTCAACGGGGGGGTTTTTTCTTCTGAATATTTGGTATGAATAAGAATAAAGTGAAGGAAAGTAAAAATGATTAGTTTGCATTGCCAACTTATTTCGATTGTGCCATCATTCTTTTTTTCTGCAAATAATTTTTTTTTTTTGTTTATTACTTATTCATACGAAAAAAAAGAGTTATGTTCGACTAATAATTGGTTTTTCGTAGTTACACTTTCAAAAGCGTGTTGTCAAGAGAGCATAGAAAACAAATCTATTGAAAGGGGTATTATTTTTACTAAGGGGGGTCATTCAACATGATGTCAACAGTGAGCATGCTACTCGTTGCTTTTTTTTCATCAATCACTGTTATCAATGGACAATTAAGTAAAAAGTTAAATTTTTACAATTCATTTGTTGTATTTATAATTATTAAGATTGTTCAATGTATAATCCATGTGGTCGATATGGATATTGTCGTGATAATTCATATGGTGAGTGGACATGTGAATGCAAATTTTGGTGGAACGGAACATTATGTGATGAACAAACAACTAGTGGAAAACAAGTTATTGCACTTGGTTGTATATTAGCTTTTCTTATGGCAGTTTTTTACGGTTTACAAATTATGCATTGTATTCGAAACAAAAGACGAAAATCAAAAGAGAATAAGAAAAAGTAAGCATTTATTTTTATTTTCTTTCTATTAATTGATAAATCTAGAGATATCTCACAAAATTCAACACTAGTTGATCTTGCATTAAAAAATGCTAAAAAATCAGCTCATATATCTTCATGTTTGGTTGCTTGTTTAACAATAATCTTGACTGCTGTAGCACTTATTTCAAAATGGTCATTAATACAACCAATACATAATGAAGTAGCTGCCAAATATCGTACCAATCAATCAATTTATTATAAACCAAATTCTTTTTGTGATACTATGTCTCTTCAAGAATTCAATGTTATAACATTTCCTGTTGCTTGTTTTTTAATTCTTATACTTATAATAAGAACCAAACGAACATCATTAGTACCCAATCTATGTTATGGATATGGAGCACCACCAATGCCTATTGATTTTCTTTCTCATGTTGATCGAAAATTTGCTGCTGTTGTTTTTGCTGTATGTGCGGATGAATTATTACTTATAATGATAACAGTAATTAACGGTACTGCAGCAAAAGGTGAAGGTGTTATTATTACTTATCTTCTACGTGTTCTTGAGGTATTAATTATGGGTGTTCGTTATTATGCTCTTTTAGCCGCTGTTTATTTAAATACAATTTTTGTATTAGCATGTGCAACAATATATGCTTGGCTTGACTATGCAATAACGATAATTGATCAAGGTATGTGTGAATCAGATTTTTATCCAACATACGATGATTATTTGAAAAATGCAAGTACTATTACTAATATGTTTGATTATTTTGGTACTGGTCCTAATTTAATTGCCATACAATTATGTACAGATATACCAAGATTTTTATGTTTAGCTTATATTAATGTTAAAATACCCATGTTATTAATAAGAAAAATTTCTTTTCGATATAAAAAAAATCTACCATTAGAAAAGAGAATGTTAATGAAATTAACAAGAGAACAAAGAATAATTATTGGTATATCTGAACCAAATTCAGTTGAAATGCTTTATGTTAAAAATTTATTTCATTCAGCTAATAATCGTTCAAAAAGTCAAGCATTATTTGCTCGTTTAATACCAACAAAAATTTATGAATGGAGAGATGATTATCGTTTTTCAACACGAATTATTTGTCTTTATTCATCAATTTTTCTTCTTTTATATTTTGTTACTATTCAAGCATGTGTACAAGTTCTACCTTTATTAGCAGATCTTCAACAAGCTATTCAAATAATAGCTGATTTAATTTCATCAATATTTATTTCTAAACCCGAGAATACTGATAGTGAAAATGTAAGTTCTAATACTTCAAATTTTCCACTTCCATCATTAATTAGACCTTATTTATTTGCTATATTTCTAACATTAATTATAATAATTATACAATTATTAGTATTACTTGTTAATATTCGTAGAAATTCATTTCAATCATTTCGTGGTGATGATAGTGAAATACCACGACGACAACGATCACATTATGTTTCTTATGCAGCAGGAAATTTTCATTTTGCTGGATATTTTATTGGCTATTTAATATGGGGTTATATGATTATAGCAGTATTTTCATTCATATTATGTCTAAGTATTGATGCATTTATTACATATGGAAGTGTTCGATTAATTGAAACGATATTAAAAATTGTTATACCAAGTCTTTTATTTGTATTTTTTAAACAATATCTTAACAAAATTCTTGCACAATATATATTTTTACAACATTATGGAGAAGTTCTCGCATTAAATAATCGTCGTTGCTTAATGATCTTTATTTATTTTAATTTTTTTCTTGATGCTTTTCTTGGTTTTATTTCTTCAATAGTTCGTTTAATTAAAAGTATTATTGCTGGTATTGCTTATATGTGTCGTTTAGATTATTCTCCATTAGGTCGTAAATTGGAAACATTGGATGGTGGTTTTAGTGCTTATTGTGGTTTTATACATACTGAATGTGCTCATCGACATCCAGTTATGTTAGTTGTTGTTTCACTTCTTTATACTCAAAGTAAAATGAATGAATTGAAAATGAATATGATAAATTCTCATGATTTAACAGCCGATGAAAAATATGAAATAAAACCAAAATCTCAATCAAGATATGTACGTAAATGGAAATTAGCTGTTTTTCTTACACAAAATCCAACATTTGTTTTTTTTCGCAAAGCATTTCTTAATCAATTACATATTGAAGAAATTCGTTTTGTTAATGATGTTGATAATGATGATAAAAGTAATATACAACGAAGGTTATCTGTTTATACACGTCGAATGTCTGCTGCTCGGTCAAGTATTGTTTCTGAAAATAAATTCAAATACTTTGACGAAAATCGATTTTAATATTTTTTTTCTTTTATAACATGAACAATGAAATTGTGATTATTTTTAAATAGATGTTGATTTTGTTGTTACTAATGAAATATTTTAAGGACAATTGTCTCTTTTTCGTAATTGTTTTTCGGTTCTGAAAGATGGTACAACGGATCAAGTTGGAATTATTAGAATGAGAGCCAAAGCCGAGATCTTGGCTTTTAGAATCCTGTAAATCCAAATAGAAAAGTCAAAAACGAATATGGCAAAATTTTCTTCTAGAGAATACTTTCAAATATCAGCGGTAAAAGTTTTGGCTCGATTGAATAAAGTTAGATAGATGTTGTAAGCAATCAGAATGCAATGCTATAACAAACCAAGATTTTCTAGAAAAACCTGCAAAAAATCCACTTCAAATTTGTTTTTCTCAAAAACATGTCTCTTTATTTTTGGTGCTCGATTTGTGATAAAAGTTTCAGTTTGATCAGTTGTATCGTCTTCGAGAACCATCAACAGTCAAAAAATATATAAGGAGCAGAACACTCATAACATTATTTGAAATTGGATTTAATGTTTCGTAAGAAAATATATCACAAACAGAAGCCTTATTATCGTTAATATATGAAGCGCTGTATGTAATCTAACGTTAAATTAAGAAGAAATTTTAATTAAATATGAACTATTTGACTAATCGAAATTCATTGAGAAATTTTCATAAATTTTTCTTGTATAATTTTCTTCTAGAAAACAAAAGTAAGATTGTTACCAATCATAAATCACTAATCCAACTTGTATGTCGAAGAATATCCATAACATTATGTAAATGATCTGCTCAGTAAAAAAAGAAAACAAACAGTCACTACATATTATAATCGAATTAAATTATCGATCATAAAAAAGCAAAAAGAAGTTCTACTTATATCTCTATTGACACTTTTCCTAATTATTTTGTCTTTTTAATAAGAATCTATTTTTGACAGTAATCAATGAAATTACTGTCATGACATATTTTAAATAAAAGAGGATCAACGGCATACTTATTCAGAAGTGGTACAGAGTATTTCATTTTCTCGTTAATGCTTTCTATTTCTTCACACTATAAGTAAAAAGAAAAGAAGAAAAAAATCTTATCATATATCACTGTAAGAATCTCTCACAAACTGATGACTGAATCGACAGCAATGTTTACAGTAAGCTTTTCTTATAATTAATTCATAACATGCCAATGGTTGGCATGTTGCTAAAACTTTACATTAATCTTCTCTCGTGTTCAATTAAAATGGTAGTCAGAAATTACTTCTAGTCTATTGATAATAATATAGAAAATGTCAACTTTTTTCTCGTCATTTTTCCTAAAGAATCTTTAATATAATAGCTACTTTTCAAGGCTATTCTCGTTATTAGAGAGCTTTTTACATGAATACTTGATATAAATTAACTTTTATTATTATTACTTTCTTTCATGTTCCATCGTATTATACGAAAACAAGTTCTTAATAGAAACCAATTTCTTTGGCTCCTGTGCTTTTTTTTCCTTTGACTTGCTCGTTAAAAAAAAATAACAAGAAGAAAACTATTGTGATTGAAACGATAGAATAGACCGAGATAGAACAAATGCGTTCATGCGCCAATAAAAAAAAGAAAAGACAAAAAAAAAAAAGAAGAAAATCGGCAACACTAGAGAATATTATAAATGTGGGAGGAGAAAGGAAAAGCAAAGTGGGAAATCTTAGTGGCCTAATGTAACTCTTTCAAAAGACTATGATTTCTTATTTTTTTTATCTATCGAAATTCACTAAAACTATAATAACATGAGTTAAAATTAATAATACATTATTATTAAATAAAAATCATTTTACAATGACTACGCAACGACTCTTGTCAAAGGTAAACATAAGTGAAAAAAATTTATGAAGATAAATATTGAAATATAATTTAGATTAGAATTTATAATAATAATTATCGTTTATTTTCATTTTCTTCAAAAATTAATAATATTGATATTGTTGCACCAAGTGAGAATTCAATTTTGAACGTATATTTAATATACATATATTTATAATATAGAATTTCAAATTGATCTACCAGGAATAGAAAATTATGGTTTTGAAGGTGAGTCATCATTTATGATATGTTCACATGGAGCTGTTGCATCAGATTCAGAAGAAGCATCTAAAGTTGGAAGGTATAAAGTATTATTTTTCATTTCTTAATTAAATTCTCTAAATAATTTGTTCAATATAAAGACGTATTTTAAATTTGGGTGGTTCTGCAGTTGATGCAGCTATAGCTGTACTTCTTTGTGTTGGTGTACATAATTGTCATTCAACTGGTATTGGTGGTGGATTTCTTATGAATATTTATGATGTGTAAGTGTGTGCGTAATTTTATTTCTTTTCAAAAGTTTATGAACATTATTTAGTTCAAAAAAAGAATGTGTAGCTATTGATGCACGTGAAGCAGCACCATCGAGAGCTCATCAAAGAATGTTTGTTGATGGAAATCCGCCACCATCATCAGTATCAGGTAAATTATTTAACAAATGTTCAAGACGATCGTTATATGGATTATTTTATATTAATTAGGTGGTTTATCAATTGGTATTCCAGGTGAAATAGCTGGTTATTGGAGTGCTCATAAACAATATGGCAAATTACCATGGTCAGCTTTGTTTAAACCAGCTATTGATATGTGTAATGAAGGTTTTACTATACAAAAAGCTCTTGCTTTTAGTATTCTAAAAAATAAAAATAAATTATGGAAACATAGACCATTCAGGTTATTACATATAAATAGACAAACATAAATCAAAGAAAATAATTTTATATTATTTGTTTTTTTTTTCTTTTTCTTTTTCTTTTATCTTAGACGAGTCTTTTTCAAAGGTGATTCTGATGAAGTATATGGATTACATGATACTATTTATCGACCACGTCTTGGTGAAACTCTTTCAATAATTGCTGAAAAAGGACCAAGTGCATTTTATGAAGGTGAACTATCAGCTGGTATTTGTGAAGAAATTCAATCACATGGTGGAATAATTACTGAACAAGATTTGGCAACTTATCATGCTCGAGTGAAACCATCTCTTAAGGTTAAAATAAAAAATAATTATACAGCTTATGGTGTGCCACCACCAGCTAGTTCTGCAATAACTTTACTTATTCTTAAAGTAATGGATGGTAAGTAACGAAGAGTTTATGAGAGAAAAAAAAAACTCTTAGTGAATTCTCTAAGGGATAAAATATGAATCACACAACGAAGCTGTTATTTTTATTAAGAAGAGAAAAATATTCATAATATCGCTGTTGTTGTTTCGTGACAATAGAGATTCTATTTTTAATATGTAACAATATATATGATTTTGTTTATATCATATACTTTCACAGAGATTAATAATAGTTATTTATATTTTAGGTTATAGTCTAACTCCACAATCATTAGATACTGATGAAAAACAAGTAAATTTTTATCATATTCTTAATGAAGTATTTAAATTTGCATACGGTAAACGATCAGCATTAGGTGATGAATATGATTCACAAACGGATAAAAATCAAGAAATTGAACAAGTATAAAAGTTTCTTTTTTCTTCGATGTTTTAGAATAGTATTACAAAAAAAAAAACTTTCGTTTAGTTACTTCATTTAATTCTATCGTCTCATTATGCTGAAGAAATTCGTCAACGAGTTAATGAAAAAAAAACTCAACCACTTCAATATTATGAACCAATGTTTGAACCTCAAACAGGTATTAAAATATACCAAATAAGAAAATATACTAATTTATCATTTTCTTGAAGATTATGGAACTAGTCATTGTTCTATTATTGATGCTGAAGGAAATGCTGTTGCTGCCACGAGTACAATAAATACTGCGTAACGTGATAATCCTTTTTTTCTTTGTTCGAAAATAGAATTTAAAAAAAGTATTTTTATTTTCTAGTTTTGGAGCCTTTGTTTATGGACATAATACTGGTAAGTGACTTTTATTTTGCATGTGATAGTAATGATCTGTTTAAATATTCTTCTTAGGTATCATCTATAATAATCAAATGGATGATTTTTCAAAGCCTGGTTCACCTAATTTTTATGGTTATGCACCAAGTCCAGCAAATTTTATCAAACCTTGTAAGTTGTATTATGTATCAATAGAGAAATATGAAGAAAACAAAAAAAGCAATGCAAAATTTTTAGTTAAACGTCCGATGACATCAATAAGTCCAATTCTTGTTACTGATCCAAATGGTAAAGTTATTTTTACAGCTGGTGGTTCTGGTGGTAGTCGAATTATTTCTTCTGTTGCTCAAGTAGCTATTTATAATCTATGGCTTGGTAAAAGTATTCGTGATGCTGTTGATATGCCTCGATTACATCAACAACTTATACCAATGGAACTTGAATTAGAAAAACGTTTTCCTGTTGTATGATATAAACTATTTCTTTTAGTTTTAGGTTTTTTTTTTTTTTAATTGTTTACATTTAGAATGTTGTTCATGGTCTTCTAGCAAAAGGTCATACAATATCAGGTTTTCGTGGTGGATGTGTTGTTCAAGCAATTGAACGTCGTCATTCGAATGAATTATGGGCTGTATGTGATGCTCGAAAAGGTGGTGTACCTGATGGTCTTGGTTATACGAATATAACAAAAAGTTTTCAAAATTGGTTTCGTCGAACATTTAAACGAAGTAAAGAACAAAAATTACTCGAACAAGCAATTGAAAAAGGACGATTATTAACACCAAAATGAGAGAAAAAAAATACGTTTTTATTATATTTTTGTGACCCTATTTTCTTTTTTTCCTGTTATTTTCTCTAGTAATCACCTACATACCCAGATAGTCAATTACTTTCATAAATCTATTTCCTACGTTGCTTTCTTTTATTGTCTAGACTATTTTTTGTTCTTTCATTCAATATTGATGTTATATTTTTCTTATGTCATATAATTTGACTAATCGAACAATAAAAATAATGATTTAATTTAGCTTGAAAATTCTTTTTAGAAAGTTCAATAGTTTTCTGAATGATAGTGAGGAAATGAAAGATAATTTAAGCAAAATTATCACATCAGAATGATCAATAGACGCATAGTTTTTTTTTTCGGATGTAAGAGCTCTTTGAAAATAACAATTGAAACGTGTATGAAGTGTAGCTTAGCTTCATAGGTAATGCTCGTTTCAATGAAGACTTAGATCCTTTATAACTACTTATTACATTTAATATTGCTTTGATTCTGATTGCTACGATCTTAATAGTTGAAAACGATAATTTGAGATAAAAACCTGCTCCGAATGAATAGTATCTGTATTCTCAAATGTTTGAAAATCATTATAACCATAATTCATTTAGCAAGGATTGTAACTTTACTGAAGTAAAGTATAAGCATCAAATGAATTGTCTATTTCGATATTTCTCTTCTGTTTTTATAGGAAAATAAAACTTTTCTTATTCTACCTGATGCAAGAAGATCTTGAGAAAATAAAAAGAAAAAAAAACACTTATTTTGTGATAACCAATATTGAATTTGGAAAAATAAAGCTATGAATGCAAGTATAGAAGGATAGAAGATCCACATTCAGATTTTTTTTAAAGTACCCAATGAAAAGCATTCATCAATTTACATAGGGGGATCAAAAAGTTCTGAGATATTTAAAAAAGGAGCGTATCGGATTTGATGACCTATTCAGAATTAAAAAAACAACAAAACATGTCATGTTGTAGAGCAAGTCGAGGCACGTCGAACGGTATATAACAAATCTTATGTTCATAAGATTTTGAGAAAACCAGACTGGATTTACTGGTAGGCGACCATCGAGTGAAAGCACGGACCATTGTGGATCTTGGTATCAGTGGAAAGTGTTTGTAAAAATAATTTTCCTATATACAGTTTTGTAGCGCTTTTCACGGGCTACAAACTAGTATCCTGCGGGAACGACTTTTTCTGATTCCCATCCCCTAAAAAAAAAATTTTGGTTCCCATTCCCTTTTTCCCATTCCCTAAAAAAAATTTTTGTTCCCATTCCATTTTTCCCATTCCCTAGGAAAAATTTTTTATTCCCATTCCCACGTTCCCATTCCCATAGTTCCCATAAGATTTTCTAAGGCTCTGTTCATCTATGCGAAAGTGTCATTGGCATATATGTATACCAGTTTCTCGCAACATCACGTTTTGCGCATCGCGACGCTGTTACATAATGCTTCACTTATTTTCTTTTCCTGTTTTGTTGTGCTTGTTGGCATTGGTTAAGCAGGTGTTCCTGCGTATATGCACTATACATTCAAGCTGGTGTGCTTTTTCCTTAAAAAAGTGTTCCACTGTGTAATTAGAAAATGTATAGTCCAACATAGTGTTCATCATATAGAGAGAATGTTCCTCTTATAGTAAAGTGTTCCCCTCCCCTCACCCAAATAGAAAATTAAAAAAATTATAGATAAATATTGAGATTATTTATTGATAAATCGTTTGTTTTTTTGTTGTAAATAACCTTAATATTTATTTATATTTTTTTTTATTTTCTATTTGAGGGAAGGAAGAGAAAATAATGATGTATCGCAAGATGATCTTGGTAATGTCATTTTCGAAGTCGAAGATGGAAAAGAAAATAATATTTGTGATGATTAAATTACGATGTGATTAAGAATAAATCAATAGTCTATTTTTTGTTGATACACATTTGTTATTTTTTTTGTTAATTGTATATGAATAAGAAAAGTTATTGAAAATAAACAGTTATCAGATAGAAATATTTTTATATGTATTGAAATAAGATAAAAAGAATTTGGGGAACGTCAATTTTTAATTCTGTTCCCATTCCCATGTTCCCATTCCCATGTTCCCATTCCCTAAGTCTAAATGAGAATTCCCATTCCCATCTTCCCATTCCCATCTTCCCATTCCCATCTTCCCATTCCCATCTTCCCATTCCCTAAGTCTAAATGGGAATTTCCATTCCCATTCCCATGGGAATGGGAATGGGAAAATTAGGGAAAAAAGTCGTTCCCGCAGGACACTACTACAAACTCATATACTTAGCATCTCCGATCATCCTATCTTTGATAGGGGAAAATGCGATTTTTCGATAATCCACCATCGTTTTCCACGGGTAGTGGCTGTTAGTGAGTTTTTGAATCCATGGGTGTCTACCAGTAAATCCCGTCTGGTTTTCTCAAAATCTTGTGAAAACAAGATTTGTGATATATGCCATTCGATGCACCTCGACTTGCTCTACAACATGGTGTGTTTGATTTTTTTAATTCTGGATTGGTTACCAAACCCGGCATGGTCGTTTTTAAAATTTTCAGAACTTTTTGATTCTCCGAATAAAAGCATTGATCAGTTTTTGTGTAGCAATCAAAACTAATTGTTTATTTCTTGTAGTGTTTCTCAATTTCCTTGAATAATTTTTTTTGATTCATTTTTTACGAATGTTGTACTTTTACACAAGTTACTAAAAAACAAAAATTAGATATGAGTACTCACAATGTACTCAGTATTACCTGGAAAATACTCAATTGTCGTACTCAATCATTAAAATCCCAGTACGAGTACTATGATGAATAGTCGCAGCATTTTCTAGCGTATAAAAACTTTATGTGAGTACGTGCCTATGCGTAACTTTACTAGAAATATTTATTCTATATCTCTGAATACTTGAGTCATCAAATGATAATATATACCAAGAAATAGTGTTAGTTTCAAGATGAAGTGCTTGTAGATATATTTTGATCCACTCTAATATGAAAAGAACACATATATTAGATTTCTACGATAATCAAATGTTGATATCTACATCGTAAAAAGATTTTTAGTTAAAATATTTAATTATTTGATCGAGAAAAATAAATTCCAATAATCGATTATTTTCATAATTGTATGAAACAAAGCTATTGTTGATTTGTTTGCTTTTTGAATCATATAACAAAGATTATTAAAGTATTTACGATTCCTTTTTTGTTTGCAGAATTATGAACTGAAAATTATCGGTAGAAATTGAAATATTTCGATGATAGTGTATGTTTTTATGAGTTTACATTTCAACATATCGACTGTTAAAAGAATAGATAATTATAATTAACAAACAAAAACTTTAATTTATAAAATACTCGATAAATCAAACAATAAACATCTCGGACATAACCGAATCGTAAATACACGGGCACAACATATTGTAAACACATTCACGAACAACAAGATTAAAGAATATTAACTACTCATTTTTGGTTTACAAATGTCCACTTTTCACACAGACGCTCACTATGCTCGATCTTTCGTGAAATGAAATCCGAAACTAAGGGACATAGCATCTTGCCAACGCTTTCTGTAATAAAAATTTTATATACGATGTACTATTCATCTTGTTCTATCTATCTTCACACAGACACTCACCACATGCAAGCTGAAATTTAATTTGATCGAAGACACTGAGCCATCGTATTTTGCCAATGCTCTTGCAAACAACACGGTAATACACCGTCTGATATTCATCTTCGTCTTGTTACAATATTCATATGGCACATAGACACTAACTACACTCGACCTTGGCGCTAATCCAATAGAAGATGCAAGGAAACAGTGTCTTGCCAATGTATTGACAAACAACATGGTCATAAAACATTCCCTAGTGTTGCTTTTCTTCACTATATTCATTGTTCATACAGATACTTGCTACACTCAAGCTCTCTAATTATCGTGTTGGACAGAGTAAATGAAAATGAGGAATGGAAATTTTGAACGAAAATACATATTGACAATGTCTTTTATTGATTAGGGATGATTTCATTTTAGAGAGTTGCTCCTTCATGCTGTCGTGATGCTATCTTTTTATGTACACGTTTTATTTTTTCACTAGAGAAATCGATTGGAGTTTCTTATATCTAAGAATCTTTATGTTATGTGATTTCATCCGATTTCATACATAACTGAATGGTCACAATCACTCTGTATAAATGTAAGCGGTACGATTTTCCGTAGTTAATCATTGATACTGAGTAGTTATAAAGTATTGTTGAACTCTTACGCAACGTATTTTGGGATTTTTTAAAGTAGGCCATCAATTTCAGTTTTGAATTTCACAATAATTTAGCTATTAGCTGTCAATTTTTTATTCGTGGAAACAAAAATCAAAGATAAATTGCATCTAAAAGTTAAGTTTGAAGCAAAGTTCTGAAATACATGAAAATATTGAACAAAGAAAACGAAAGTCTAGATTTATTACATAATAGATGATTGTTACATTATTTCGATGTGATGCAGAATAAATAACGTATTTCTGCTACAATCGTGTAGTTATAATCTTATATTATATGACCGTGACATAATTCAACGCTTTATACGTTCTATATAAGGAAAGAATTGGTTATTAAAGAACGAAAGATAGATCATACGCTGTACTCGAATAGAGGTCGACAGCATCGTCAAAGATTACTGATAGTAATGTATTCTTTTCTTCATTTGTTTTCATGAAATATAGTGCTATATTCGAAGATATTTCGATTGGTCCCAACAGTGTAGATGATTCAAGATATCATTGTATTGAAAATAAATAAAAGATACTTGCTCGTAGAATTGAATGTAATTGTCTTTTAAATCATTTGTTCGAACAGTAAAAATAAACTTATACTTCATGTTTGTAGGATTTCAGCATCTGTTCCTTAAATCATATATCATTCTGTATCAATGTCAAAACAAATATTTACTATAGCTATGATATTGATTTTTATTTCATAGTACGAAAGATAAATTCTAAT